GCGAAACTGACATTAGTAAGCATTGGACCAAAGTGACAAATACAGTCCACTCCTCCTGAAAAGTTGCGTAATCTCACATACACAACTGGATAAAAAGACAGTGTGGTTGTAGTTCGGACAATTAACAAGGTCATGGCTTCAGTTAGAAGTATTTTTTGCATCTTATAAGGATGCAAGTATTTAGTCAGTACCCTTTAGCTCACTCAGAGCCCAAGTAGAAAATCTAAGAGAAAAGGATTGCTTCTGTCCCACACATACCGAAAGGTTTTTCAGGCCTATATCGTATCGGGCACAAAAACAACATGGGAAGCCCTTTGCCTCCCCTCTGAAAGGTAGCTTCCCTGGTCGCACCTTTCTGGATGAAGAATCTAGAATGGGTTTTTCCTTGCGTGATCAAACTTGGTTTCCGGGCTCCCTTGTGATAGATCGAGGAACCCTTAGATCCTCATGGCTCTGATTTCATTCCTGAAGATGCCTTTCAAGAGAGTGCAGGGCCCACATCCCCGACGTGAACAAAGTGGAACGCATGTCCTTCCTGCCCCACCTCCCTGGAAGAGGTGCCAAGTCTCAACTTGATCAAACAAGTAGGAAACTTCTATTTTTCAAACAACGTTTTCATTACTTGTCTGGTTCCTCTCATGGTTACACTTAAAGCCCACCGTGTCTTTTAGTTTCTTCTATTTGTTCACCCATGCAGGCCTTAAGAAAAGGGCCCTTAACTTTGTATTGCTTTGGGCTGGGGACTCATTCGTCAGTCATGGAAATTCAGCAGTGCCCATGTATTAAACTAATTCATAGGGTGTCTCGAAGGTCTATCTTTTTTTTTTTTAAGTTTGTTTCATTATTTTGAGAGAGAGAGAGAGAGAGAGTATGCAAGAGGAGCAGAGAGCGAGGAAGAGAGAGAATCCCAAGCAGGCTCCATGCTGTCATCATGGAATCCAGTGCGGGGATGGATCTCATGACCATGAACGAATTTCGACCTAAGCCGAAATTGAGTCAGTTAGCCGAAAGTGACCAAGCCACCCAGGTGCCCCTCTAAGGTTCATCCTTAGCCCAGATCATGCTTTTCCCTCATTCTAACCATGGCTTACATAGACTCAAATTTTCAAGACATTCCCTTTCTTTGTATCATGAACCACATTCCTGAAATAGAGCAAGACACGCTATCGTGTATCCTACGACGATGGCCCTGCCTTCGAAACATCAAGGTAGCAGCAGATCGTGCAGCCAATGAGACGTGGCATTCTGGGGTCAAACTCTGGATTCTCTACTGAAAATCTGTAAAGTCCTGGTTGAGTTATTCCATTATTCTAATCCTCAGTTTCATTTTCTGCAAAATGGGGATATGATAAACGGTATCTTCCTCAAAGTGCTGTTGTGATAACCAAAAGAGATCATCCACATAAAGTACATCGCGTGGTGCCTACCTTGCACCAGGCATTAGTTATTATTCTTCAAATATGTTGCAAGATCTTGACCATTTCCTGAGAGTCTTACAGATTAAAAACAAAAAGTAATCCAAGTTCTAATCTAAGGCTTCAAAGAAAACATTTGTAATTTGTTCCAAGTGACATGCACTCTTAATTGGTACTAATTCCAACAGTTGGCTCAGGTGCTGGCTTCAGGCATTTTCTGCTCTCAGACAGTGGTCTAATGGAGCGAACCTTCCTTTGAGAGCCCAGAGATGTGGCTTTTTGTCCGAACTTTGCCACCAATCCCCCCAACTGACCTTGACAAACCCTTTCTCTATATCTGATTCTCAATTTCTATATACATTCTCTTACAGATGAATTTATATATACAGTCTCTTGCAGATCAAGGGCTCAGTGAATTATAAAGGCCCAGTGGTCATTCCCAAGGACTCCTTTCCTAAAGGTCCCTGGGGAAGTGGAGAATTCCACACACTGTTAGAAGATCTTTTGGGAGGAAGGGGAAGGAGTAAGGGCAGGATTTTTAACTAAGACCAAAAAAAAAAAATGAGATTACTATTCCCTTTCTAACATAATGGACCAATCAATCAGCCACACTTCAGGGGACCTTACTGAATACAAGATACCGTTGTCTGTAGAGCAATAGAAGACAGCATTCTAGAAGGCAACCGTGCGGTTGAAAAGCAGCCTTCAAAAAGGTAACATTCATAGCAATCCAATAAGTATAATCAATCAAGTAAGTATTATCAAAATAAGCAAATCAAGTATAGGGAATGTGTGTATGAGGCTGTCGCGAGCCCTAAGCATCTGCCCTTGGCGCTTTTCTTGATGAGCAAACTGTGACACAAAGCTTAGTAAACTTGTCTGGGGTCCCGTAGCTAGTAAGTGTTGGAGCCGGGGTTCAAATACAGGTAGTCTAGCTCTAGATTGACCATTTTGCTCATGACTGAGACTTCAAAGGATAAGTGAGGCCAAGTGAGGATGGGACAGACATGAGGTGAGCAGTCTCTTGACTGTGGCGAGAGAGAGGGTACTTGTAACTTAATATAGCTGCAAGCCAGCGTGTTCAGACCTTCACGAGTCAAGAGGAAGTGAAATGAATCACTCCCCAATGTCAGCACCCTATCATCCTGAACCAATTAGGAGTTGTCTTGCCATAGTCCTGTTCTCCTTTGTGTTTCCAAAGTGACAACGCACTCCATTCTGAAACCCAGTATTTTATATTCGATTGACATCAGCTTCCCAAATATTGTAAGGCTCTTTCTTTGTGACGGTGCTGGAACTGGAGTTCAAACATGAAAGAAAGGGAATGTATTATTAAATTCTAGCACAAATAGGATAATAGCATTGAGAACCTGTGAACTGTATTAATCCCCCATCTGACAGATAAGAAAAGTGAGATTCAGAGAAACTGGTGTCGCTCACGGTGGGGGCAGTGACTGAGTGAAAGATCTGGAGGCAGAGTGAGTCTCCCAGCCTGCCATCTGAAGAAAACGAAAAGCCTAAAGCCATGCGCACTTTAGGCTGGACAAATGAGGACTATGGGGCATTTTTAAAGCCATCGGCAAGAAGCATTCAGGAAACGAAAGGAACTCAAGCTTGGGGTCTACAGGAAATACCTTTTCACAGTAAAAATAGACCCAAAGTGGGAAGGAACCCTTGGCAAAGGAGCGAGTCCTCAGGCACTGGGCGTGTCCGAGTTGAGGGTATTTAGAGCCCTAGGGTGGCCTGCCCCAGCTCAGAGGATAGAAACCCACTTGCTCCAACAAAGCAGAGAAGATCATCTGATGGTCACCAGGAGGCATCGGAGTAGACACCAGGGATGCCACGGGAAGGCTTCCTGAAGGCCACGATCCATGATAACGCCAAGGTGCTGTGCTAAGGGCGGTGATGATGGGGAGGCAAAATGAGAGGAGAGGGACTAAGTACGCTAAACGTTACTCGTGCTGTTTTCAAAATCTCATTATCAAATCTGTATGACCAAGCTGGTGTGAAATCCATCCGTCAGCCGACAAAGAAGAGTCAGATCTTGTGCAATTAGCTGTTAGAAGAAATTCAGACACCTGTCTGTCCTTGAATTAACTGTTCTGTGGCTAACTTACTGATCTCCCAGCTGGTGTGTGTGGGCATGCCTCTCTGTGCCTGTGCCCCGGTCCTAGGTAACTCTCTTTGTAGCCCCTGGTGATACGGATTGTCTGTTGTTTTATCGGGAGTGAAGATGGCATGTCGTGATCCTTTGGGGGAATATTCCAGGTTCCCCTCCAGATACCAAGCAGGTTGTCAGCATGCAGACAGAGGCCTCAGGACTAGGGAACAGAAAAAGCATTGTCCTGAAGCCGCAGAGAATGTGCGGTCTCTGAGCAATGTTGTGCTTCCCCCCCTGGAGAGCTCCAGCTACAGGACACTGACTTTCCCACGTCCTGGCCGTAACACTGAGCACTCAGGTCAGCCTAAACCCCGGGCCACACCAGGATGTAGGCGAAGAATAAAACTCAGGTAACTGTCGATTGTCGCCAGCAGTCCGACAAGTTGGACTGATACTGTTTCGTCAACCTGGCCCAGATCGTCTCTTGGTGCTGGGGACGTGGAGCCTGAGGTGTTGCAACGGTTCTGTTCATTTGTTTCCTGTATGGAGTCACTGTGAAATTCGAATCAAGGATGACAAAGTTCCAAAGCCAGGCTTAGCTGTCTGTTCGCGCCCTCTCTGGCTGTTAGGGAAAATGAGGGGCTTGCTTGAGGCTAATTTTAAGGTTGTCTTCAGTTTTGAAAATCCTTTCCTCCTCCTGAAGGAATTGGATGTTTCTTCATTTAGTGACTCCAAGACGGTTCCGGAAACTAGGCAGGACTGAGGCAAGTTCACATTCAGTGTTGACCTTCCAGAAGCTTTTGAGGCTGGACAGTGAAATTACTGGGCACTCCGGATCATCAAAATAAAGTTGGCACCGTTCACCGGGGCCTCCTCCCTCAGACAACACAAGGGCATTGAGCATGCTGGTCAATCCGTTGGGTTTCCCTGTGTGGAATGAGAGGGCTTGCCCTTACCAGAACTCTCTTAGGCTGCTCTCCCCTCTGAGATTCTGTGACCTTATTTTTTAATAGTTTCCATGAAAAAGGAGGCAGGAAGACTCAGGCAAAACCGTTCCCTGTGTTCTAAACCTAACACAAAATAGAGCGAGACCCTTCAATGACTCAAGTTTACTCATGAAGCGAGTCCATGTGAATTTGATTTGCGACGTTTATGGATGTGTGCACTTCTGTTTTGTTAAAGTGACGTTAGTTCGGAGGAAGGAGAGCAGGAGAAACGCGCAGAGTCCCTTCCCGTTCCTTTTTGCTGCAAAGGGAATTGCATTCACTTCTGGGCTCTCGCTGGGAGGTTGGAGGGAGGGATGGACGTAATACTCTGTGAAGGGTTAATTAAGATATGGACTCCGCTTTTAAAAAAAAAATGTTTAAATGCCTTGTTTCTTCTTGCTGTTTTCCCGCCACTCCAAACACTGGTAAAACTTAACTCTTCCAGAAGTCCAGCTTTGCTATTAAGTAATTTATTCTCCTTTTTTTTTTTAATTACAGTATTCTCAAATGAGGGACGAAGTATTCAAGTCAAACTTGGTCTGTGCATTTATCGTTCTCCTATTTATCACGGCAATCCAAAGTTTGCTTCCTTCTTCAAGGTAAATACGAAAGGACTAAGTTATCAGGTGAAATGTCTTTGTGCGTTGATGGTCCCTCACCTGGAGCCAGCCCGCTGACCTTTTCAAAGGCTCAGAATTTAAGATAACGGGATCCAGGATCCACACGGAAACGTTGGCCAGTTATCAGTGTCTGTCCGGGTTGTCTTGCTCTGCATCATCTCCCTGCTCTACCGAGGCAAGAGTCTTTCCCCAGTCTCAATAAAAACCACAACCAAAATCAAAATAGGCCCCGCTCTTATTTGACATTGCACCCGTGAATGCGGCAAGTAAGTATTAGAGCCTCCCTCCCCATGGTCTTGTCCCTTTGTTAATGACCTCTTTGTTGTTCATAGATATAGCATCATCATAGCTTCCTGGGCCAGCGAAGTTGGCACTTTAATAACACTGCAGACACCTATATGTGGCCAGTCACTGTTGCAAATACTTCACATGCAGTAGCCCATAAAATCCTCATGGCCACCCTGTGAGGTAGGTACTACTGCTGTCCCCATTTTAAAGAGGAGAGAACTGAGGCCCGGAGTAATGGAATGACTTGCACAAGGTCTCACAGTTGCAAATGTGACCGCCTCGATTCAAACCCAGGAAGTCTCCTTCTAGCGTGTGGGCCCTTGACACTCCATGCAGACACAGACTCGTATCGCACAGATCCTAGGTGCCCCAGCCAGCATTGGAACCTAGTTCTGGATTAGTCTCGTGGCCATGCTTTTTGCCCTTCCTGTACTTTGAGGAAGCCCCTACCTGCTTTCATAGGTAAATTCCCTTCTCTCAAAACTTACCATGAATTTTCCCCTTTGATGAGATCGACAAATACTTGTTAAATGTCTAGTACAGGCAAGCGAAATGCTAGACTTCGAGTATGGTACAATTTTGTGGGAGGAGGTCTGCATCCTCTAAGACACATTAATGACGACTGTCCAGTTAATGAGCACTTATTACCTAGCAGAAAAATGTTCAACCCTTTGCATGGGTTGTCTCCACAAAGCCTCAAGGACAACCAGTAAGTGAGGGCGCACTCTGATTCCCATTTTGTAGATGAGGCTATATCCAAGGTCACAGACCTATATAATGGCTGAACTGAGAGTTGAATCCAAAGACAGAGTCTGTGCTTTTAACTGCTTACCTACTATGTACCCAAATCAGCGATTCATTGTGAGCAGATGGTTTAAGGAAAAGTTGGCAGAAGAAGTAATATTTTGGGCTGAGAAGAATGAGATAGAAAGAGTGGGGGAAGATTCCCAGTCTTAAAAAAGAGCATTGGCAAAGGCACAGAGGTGCGGAAACCCTTGTGTTTGTAGAGTCGTGGGCACATGGGAGGCTAGAGTAAAGGTTTTTGCGAGGGTATGGTGGGCGCCATGGCTGGAAAAGGAATGAGCTAGCTCACAGGTGCTGTGTCCGCAGTGATAAAAGGTGTTCAGGCGCAATGACACTCAGAGAATGGCCATGCTTGATGTCTGTGGATGGGCAGGGATACGAGGAGGACAAAGGTGGTGGCAGAGGGCGTGTATCTCTGAATCTGGCAACATTCCCTCGTGTCTGAACAGCTAGATAGCAGAACCAAAATACTCATGGACTGTACTACAGCCAAAACAGGTGAGGCAGGTGCCCCATAAGTCCCCAAATGGAAGTGGGGAGCAACAATCTCCCAATAGCCCCAGGATTGGTGCGACGTCAGCGTCTGTGTGTGAGGAATCAGAAACAAGCAAATAGGCACCTGTCATATCTGGGAACGAAAGGAGTCCCGGTAGAACCAACGAGGGGCCATTTACTGGGAAGTGTCATGGACCAGATTGAGAGAGCAGCTGAAAGCAGGAAGGGTTTGCCCAATCCGGCATCCAGGGAGTGCAAAGGGCCACAGCAAATCTGCAGAACACGAACTGTTACACACGAGGAACTCCCCAAACTGACCACCCCATCTCCCTCCCAGGAGAGTGCCTTGGAAGGATCTCTGGGAGGGGAATCAAGATTACTCACAATACGTACTATAGAGGGAAAAAAAGAAAGATAGGGTCCTTGTGAGAGTGGAAAGAGAATGTAGCCATCACTTTTTTGAACGCCACAGGAAATCAACTACAGAAACAGCTCTCCAGAGTTAAAATAATAATAATAATAATCATCTCTCCTAAACCACACCTATTTCGAAAAGCTCAGCAAAGTTAGTTTGACATGAAAATGAGCAACAACACATATTAGTGGCAGTCCCATGCCCTGCTGTTACAAGAAAAAAGGGAAAAAAGTAGATCGATATCCTGAGAGTTGATGAAAACACTCCAAAAAGACAGGCCTGCAACATATGTCAAATCTTTAACCTACTCCTTCAAAAGGAATTGAAGCACTTAATGCGGTTCCAGACATGAAATAACAGCCTAAACCAGAATTAGAAAAACTTAGACATTCGACAAGAGCGCTCAGGAAAGGAAGAAAAAGGACAAGACAGATTTCGGAAACAAAGACTTAACAAGAGAGAGCATAGAGCACATAAACAAGGCGAGGAATGCCTTAAGAGGAACAGAAGGTGAAAAGGAAGGATTTTTTTCATCAGAAAGAAGAGTAAAAGGGTTCTCAGGGCCCCTCCCCCACGCCTTCATGCCACATGGACAAGAATCCAGAACATTAATGGTGGATTATGGCTGAAAGGGCTGCAAGACACAGACTCTTTCTGAGGAGGTGTACTCAGGGGAGCCCAGTTCGAGAGGGGAGACAAAAAACAAGGACACGAGGAATTTGAAGCAGGCCATACATACACATACACATACACATACTCATACCGTAGACACTAAACATAGCCCACCTCTGAGAGACAGTTACCTAAATCCTCACAGTAAAGATACATTCACCTCCATTTTTCTTACCTGACACAATATGACCAGTGTTCCACAGAAAATTACAGGACATTCCAAAAGGCAAGAAGAGACAAAGCAATCATTAGAATCAGACTCAGGCATGACAAAGATGCTGAAGTTATCAGACAACCTAAAATAACTATTTTTAGTATATCAAGGGTTCTTCACAAATCTGTGTCTCATCCTCGTACAGGGCCATGCCAGTTTTCTGTGTTTCATTCCAGTTTTAGGCAACGTGCTGCCGAAGCGAGCACAGTATATTTGGTGTTCCGGCAGAAAAATTAGACACCGTGCAAGAACAGATGGGCAGTATAGGTAGATAGAAGCTCTAAGAAAGAATCAAAAGAAATACTAGAAATGAAAACACTGCAACAGAAATAATGAATGGGTTCATCAGTAGACTCAACAAAGCCATGGAAAGAATCAGAGAGCTTGACTGTATATAGGTCAATAGAAACTCCCAAGTTGAGGGGCGCCTGGCTGGTGCAGTCGGTTAAGCGTCCGACTTCAGCCAGGTCACGATCTCATGATCACGTTCGAGCCCAGCGTTGAGCTCCTGGGCTGATGGCTCCAGGCCTGGAAACTGTTTCGATTCTGTGTCCTTCCTCTTTCTCTGCCTCCCTGTTCCTTGCTCTGTCTCTCTCTGTCCCAAAAAAATAAATAAACGTTGAAAAAAAAAATTAAAAAAAAAAAAAAAAAAAAAAGAAACTCCCAAGTTGAAATACAGAGAGAAAAATAAGTGGGGGAAAAAAAGACCTAAGCATTTAAGAACTCGCTTTAAATATAAAAACTCAAGTCAGTTACAAGTAAATGGATGGAGAAATATATACCATGCTAACACTTACAAAAGAAAGCTGTAGTAACTATATTAAGTTCAGTCAAAGTAGACTCAGAACAAGGAGAATTATCAGAGGTGAAGAAGGACATTACATAATGATAGATCAGTTCTCCAAGAAGACATAACCATATGGATGTCCTGTCTTGTATCTATTTATGAAGAAAGTGTCAAAGTATGTGAAGCAAAACCTGATAGAACCAAAAGGAGAGACAAATCTATTACAGTTGGTGACTTCAGCACTGCATCAGGGACAATTAGATGAAGCAGGTGGGACGGTGTTAAGGACATAGAGAGCCTGAACAGTCAGCCAGCGTTAGCTAATCAACTTTGATAGACTAGTCCATTCAACAAAGGAATATACAGTCTTCCAAGCTCACATGGGACATGTCCTAGAGTACATTCTGGGCCATAGGCCACACTTCACCAAATTTAAAAGAGTAGAAATTATACAAAGTATGCTCTCAGACCACAGTGGAGTTAAACTAGAAATCAATAACAGAAAGATAGCTGGAAAACCGCCCAATACTTGAAGGTTAAATAACACACTTGTAAATAGCGCATGGGCCAAAAAAGAAATCTCAAGAGAGATTTTAAAATATTTTCAACTAAATAAAAGTGAAAATACAATTTAGCAAAATTGGTAAGATGCAGCCAAAGTAGTTCTTAGAAATTTACAGTAATAAATGCATGTATCACAAAAGAAAGATCTAAAATCAATCATCTAAGTTCTCCCTTGGGAAACCAGAGAAAGAAGAATTCAAACCTAAAGTAGAAGACAAGAAATCGTACGAATTAGGGCAGAAATCAATGAAATCGAAAACAGGAAAACAACAGAAAAAACAAAACAGAAATCTCGTTCTCTGAAAATATCAACAAAATCGATAGGCCCCTGGCCAAGTTAACAGAAGAGAGAAGTAGACACACACACACACACACACACACACACACACACACACACACATGTTACCAATATCATAAGAGAAAGAAAGGTTTCACTACAGATCCCATGGACATTAAAGTGATAATAAAAGAATATTACATATAACTCTATGCCCACAAATTTGATAACTGAGATGAAATATACCAACTTGTGGAATGAGACACAAACTACCTAAATCCACACAAGAAGAAAAAGTGAACTTGAATAGCACTATATCTATTAAAGAAACGGAGTCAATAATGTTAAAACTTAGTAAAAAGTGAAACACCAGACCTAGATGGTTTCACTGGTGAATTCTACCAAAGATTTAAAGAAAAAAATAATACCAATTCTACACAACCTCTTCCATAAGTTAGAAGTG